GTGAGAGAGGATAACAAGGATCTGGGCACAGAAGTCTTGTCTTTACCCTTTTAACTTAACTGAGTGATTTCACTTTAAATTCTCTAAGCATTATTTTTCCTCTTCGATAAAAACTGGGTAACAAACAAAACTGGGCAACAATAATATATGCCTTATGTACCTCAAAGGGCGAAAGACAGAATCTGATGGAATAATGTGTATGAGAGAGGGCTTTGTAGAATAAAATTACTATAAAAATAGGGGCGCCTGGGTGGCTCAGTAGGTTGTGTCTGCCTTCGGCTCAGGTCATGATCCCGGAGGCCGGGGATGGAGTCTGGGAATCAGGTCCCCGAGAGTCGAGTCCCTGGGTCGAGCCCCACATCCGGATCCCTGCTCAGCAGGGAGTCTGCTTCTCCCTTTGCCCCTCGCCCCGCTTGTGCTCTCTTTCTCAAATAAGTAAAATCTTTAAAAAAAAATAAATAACTTACATGAATTTTGGTGATTCATAAATCACTTCACATGATTTTTGGAGACACAGCTTTTTTTCATATGTAATATAGATTTTTTTTTTTACATACTATTGCACATTAGTTTGACTATTTTACTAGTTTGCCCCACAGCAGAAGAAATAAAATGAGTGCTCCAGTGAATATCGTAAGCTATAGGGTTGTTGTTTTTTTTCTTATACATAATAATTAAATGTGCAATGAAGAGTTCTGCTATACATACTTTGATCTCATGTAATAAAAACCAGAACAGAATAGTTATGTGCTTTAATGGTAATATATATTTACATAATCACATGTTTTAAATTTTTCAGCATGATGTTAAATAGGTTAATGTGGCACTAATTTGTCTTTGGCCAAAAAAGGAAAGAAAAGGGGAAAAAAAACTAAATTGCTTAACTTTCTTTAAGTAGAAAAAAATTGTTAGCACTTTCACTATTTTCTATAGTATTTCTCTGCCAACACTCAAACCCATGTAGGAAAAAGGGCAGCTATAACAATGTCTTAAACCACTGTGAAACCAGATATATTTTTCAAGCTAACTGACTCATTCCTTGGTTAAAACTGCTCCTTCACATTGGACAACAATGGCAGGAAGACAGTACTGAAAACAGGAGCAAACTGAGCTGCACATTTTCCAGCGGGTCCCCAACCTTGCAGCTCACGGATTATATCTACACGCTTTGAAAGTGTATAAGAATCTAAATTTCAGACATTTTAGGAACTTTCCACAGTACTGCAGAGACAGTGTATACTAGCAGCATCCTATTATCCACTGAAGAGTTTTAATAATGACCTCCAAAGTCATTGAAATCTTCCAGTGCTCTTCCACATCACTAATTGTTCATCACTTATTTCATTATTCTGGTCCTCCCAAGGCTTTTGTGTAACCTGCAATATCATCTGTGGAACTAACACAAAGCAGCTGGACTTCAGGTTCTCTTTTAAAGCAAAGATCAGAAATGTTTTTATGCAGTATGTATATGATCATAAAGAAGGTTATTATATGTTAACTATCAAAATTTAAATTAAAAAATAATAAAATAAATAAATAAATAAGAGTGTTTCACTGGGTGGAACTCAAATTACATAGGAACCTTAAAAAAAGCCTTGAACACTTAACTAAAATCCAAAGAAAAAATCCAGTAGTACCTAGTGAATCTTAAGTTATTTTACTTTTCTTTCATACCTAGGGTTTCAATGGGCACGGTGTATTTTTCTTACACTTTTATTTTACTTTATTTATTTTTAAAGATTTTATTTATTTGAAAGAGAGACAGCAGGAACAAGGGGAGAGGGAGGCAGAGGAAGAAGCCGACTCCCCGCCGAGCAGGGAGCCCGATGCAGGGCTTTATCCCAGGACCCTGGGATCATGACCTGAGCTGAAGGCAGACGCTTAACCCACTGAGCCTCCCAGGCGCTCCTGTCTTACACTTTTTAACTTACTTATTCCCCTTCCTCAAAAAAAGGGTATTATTAATTACATGGAACTATAAAATCAACCTTTTTTAGAAAACAACTTTGATGTTAACAATTTCGAAATGTGGCAATATAATCACTAAGTTTAGGAAACTGCACATTAAGGTGTTTGATATTGATTTCAGGGCTTGCTAAACAACAAGGTTCTGTGTGTGTGTGCGTGTGTGTAAGTAGATCCCAGTGATATACAGGGGGCAATACTGTAATTATAAGTTTGCTTTATGGAAACTTAAAAACATTTCATAATTAAAATAAAATCTTAAATGATGAGGCTTTTGACCAGTCCACAACACTTATTTAAAGAACAAAGCAGTTTAACCGATTCAGGATTTAACTGTACTCAGGATTTTAAGAGCAGAGTAAGGGAGGGTGGTGGAAAGAAAGAAGAAAATTTCCTTTTCCTCTTCTGACCAAAGACTCAATCTAACTACAGTTGTAAAAATAAGTGGGAGATACAACATTACAATTGGGAACCAGAGTAAAATGGGTCTGGATAAGTACCTAATCTCCCTAATCCTTAGTTTTCTTTTCCTTTGTAAAGTGACATTCATAGTTCCAGGAGGCCACTGAGAACATCAAAAATGGTAATGAATGTAAAGCCCCCAGCAGAATGCTCAGCATAAAACAATAAATAAATTTTAGTTACTGATTTCTAGTATTGTGGTCATAATTTTCACCTCCTTTTCTGATCCACCACTCATCATGCCAAGCCCACAGTGCCCTCTGATTTCCTACCCTATGTCCCTCACCTAGATCTGCTCTAATTCCCAAGGCATTTCATGCTTTGAAATTTTTATTGCCTTTCCATCACTATGAAACATACAAGAAAAAAGCAGAATTTATTTCTGCCAGATACTGTGAGGAAAGCAATCTGATTAATCCATTAAAATATGTAGGAGCCTTAATCTTCCTCAAGGTATCAGTAGATGTACAAACAACAAGCAATGAAAAAGCAGTATCAAAAAATAAAAATTTTAGGAAATATTCTGGGGAGTTATTTTTATACTGAGCAATTGCCACATGGTCACACTAATACTGCCAAGGAGTCCACAACTCCCCAACTCTAACTCAGAAGACTCTTGTAAGCTATTTCTACAGCCTGGAACTCTTCCCTACCCCCCACCCCAACTCTGATTTCAGAGATCCATTCAAACATTTTACTTAAACAAAACCCAAGCAAACTTTAGTTGTAGCAACAAAAAGTACTCCACCAGAGAGAGCAAAAGGACAAGAGATGAAAAGAACAGAAAAAGACAAGGGTTAGATGGAAAAGAGGAAGGCAGGAACAATGGGGAGGTGAGGAAATAAAGATAGAGTGGGGGACCCAAGAAGAGGCAAGGCAGGGCAGTCCTAAACCATGAATGATGCGAGCTTGCCTCATTCTCAAAGAGACAATAGGTTAAGCTACGTCTAGACTCCCTCAGAGAAGTTGGGAATAAAACGTTGCCTGAAAGTACTGCTAATGTCCACACTATTATGTGGCTGATTGACCTGGGATGGCTCCACAAGAATTGGGACCAGGGGAAATTTCACTCACACAAAGAAGAGTGATTATTTAACAGTCTTAATCAGTTAGCAAATATTACAGGACATGTTTAAAAGTCAGTCTTAATCAGTTAGCAAATATTTTAGAACAGTGAATTTCCTTCATGTGGCCACTTGCACAGAATATAAAATCATCAAATGATTTTAGCCTCACAAATATATTTAGTTTTCTTTTAAGACTTGAAGGACATATTTTCATATTAATTCTGTTAGTTTCTCTATTGACGTTACTGATTTTAGAGGCCAAACTATTTTTCTTTCTAGCTTAACCATCTAATTTTGGAGGAGGGAATAAGTACATTTTTTAAATCTTTTTTTCTACAAAACATAAAAGTTAGTCAAGTATACTAAGAAAAATCTAGATTTAATTGCAGTATTGCAACTAGACCTACTGGAAAATATCAAACAAAAATTCCAATTCTAAGTCAACTGAATACATTATTGACTCCAAAATCACCGATTAAACAAAAGAAATTATATTTGCATTGATGTGCGAATCTGCATCCATTCTTGGTAGCATGTAATATATTCAACTGCTCAGCTCTAGCTGTCCTTGTAGCCACATTACCATATTATTCAAATGTATCTATCATTTATATGTAAATAGAGAAGATAAATGGCTTCTTCATAAGACAACAATTTTCAAATGATAAACAGATGTAGGCAGACATTAGCAAGATAAAAAATGTTGCAAATATGCATTCTATTATATATTTTTTAAAAAAACATGGAACCTATTTCAAATTTTTTTAAAAAGTTGTGTGGTAATTTATAAAATGGGATCCTAATACATTCACAATACCAATAGCTACTCTCCTCAATAAAAGTCTCCACCAATGTCATTTGTATCTTATAAATTATATGTTCTCAGATCCATCTGTGAAAATTGGGATGTTAATTATCATGGTTACATCTCATGATTCCACAGTTAAAGGCTGAAGTGGTGCTACATAAATACCATATGTTTTTCTAGGAGAAACGGAGAAAGATTAATTATGAGTTCAAGTCCAAGTCTTCTAGCAGTAATACTCTCAACACAGTAAGATCATTACATTGTATGCTATGCAAATTGGAAGTTTTAATTAATAGCTGAAATACGAACTGAGGGAGAAAACTATGAAGTCTAAATTGTAAGTATCAGGCTTTCCTCCACCCATCCAAAAAGGAAAAAAAAAATCTTAGTAAGAATGCTTCTGAGAAACCAAGCTGTAAGTCCAAAGGGAAAAGAACTTCCTTTGATGGAGTGATCACTGTCATGCTGTTTAATCCTATTTGGTAAACCTAAAAATTACAGCATATCCAGTGACAAATAGATTATTAATAGATAATATATCTGATGAAAATTCAGTTTAAAATTTTTCTGGATTGTTCAAAATTATACAAACTTAATAGATAAAATACTTCGGTACAGCAACTTAAATAAGAAACTCCATTATAATACTACAAGATTTTTATTTATGTTTATAAAATCTGAATTCTTATTTTACTCACCACATATTCGAACACAAGTGTCAGCGTCTCCTTGGTGTGGATGATGTCGTGAAGCAGCACTATGTTAGCATGTTTTAGTCCTTTTAAGAGAGAAGCTGTAAAACAAAGTAGACAAAAAGACGATGGATAATAATCAACTGATATGTTTCATTATCATTTTGTCAGATGAGATATTTATTTTTCCCATTTTCCAAGCCAATAACTATTCAGAATCAAGGGTAGTGGAAGAGAGTTTTCATTTAGATGAAGCCCCTCCCCCCAGTTATTTCACCTGTTATTTGCTGTTAAACTCTAGTTAGATTCCATTATGGCCAGAGGACATACTTGGTATGATTTCAATTGTTTTAAATTTGTTAAGGTTTGTTTCATTACCCAGAATGTGGTTTATCTTGGTATACATGCCATACATATGGAATATATATTCTGCTGAAATTGGGTGGAGAGTTCCATAAACGCCAATTAGATTCTGTTGGTTGATGATGTTGCTGAGTTCTTCTCTGTACTTGCCGGCTTTCTGAAAAATGGTTCTATCAGTGACCAAGAGAGGGTTGTTGACATCCCCAACTGTAACTGGGGATTTGTCAACTTCATTTGATTCCGCCAGTTTTTGCTTTATGTGTTTTGCTTTGTGTGTGATGTTTACACTATATACATTTAGGATTTCTATATTTTCTTTGTGAACTGGCTCCTTTATAAATATATAATGTCTCTCTGTCTTTGGTAATTTTCTTTGCTCTGAAGCCTGTTTTATGGATATTAATATAACAACTCTAGCTTAGTTTTGATGATGTATCTTTTTACTTTTTCTTTTAGCCTACCAATATAGTTAGATTTGAATATGTAAGTTTCTTATAAATAGCATATCAATGGGTCATGTGCTTTTTAAATCCATTCTGTCAACCTCCGACTTTTAACTGATATTTAGACCATTTACATCTAATGTAAATATGAATATATTGGGTCATCTGACATTTCAATCCATTTTCCCTTGAGCATCTTGTAACTTAGTCTTCATTTCTGATTTAGTTTTGTCTTTTCTTCTACATTTCCCAGGAGTTCAATTAACTCATTTCATTTTGGCTTTTGTGCATTTTTCTTCTTAGCTTTTGTATTACCACTTCAAGGTGGGGTTTTTAGGTTTCATATACCCAAGAGCCTGAATAAGAAAATTTAATTTAGATTACAGTTTGTTGTGTACAGTTTTCTTTAATTTTATGGTTGTTTTTTGAAATGCATTTATTTTATATTTTCTGAATTTTTACAGCAGTTTTATATAGATGTGCTTGTTCTAGTCTTATTCATTCAAGGGACTGTGTTCTTAGTTTGAGAGTCCTCTCTTACATCAGTTCTCTCCTCTATGTAGGTATTATGGATGGTGCTGGTGGCAGAAAGGGAGAGAGTTTGGGGTGTTCTGTTTCTTTTTCATTTCTACAGGATCCTTAATTTCTCCTTATTCTTTCCTTTTTTACTTTCACTGCCAACTTCAAGGGGTCCGATCCTTTCCCTAAATATGTGAATCTCTCCTCCAGCCAACAGTTTCTAATCCTACTCGCTTTCGATCTTTTCTGTAGTCAGTGCTGTGAACCTCATGGAGTCCCAGTTTTCTCTTTCTGAAGTGATTCTGTCTGGGCTTCATCTAAGTCCTCCATACCCCTCTACTCTTTTATACAGTCTCTTAAACCTGTCTGAAGCTTCCCTTGCACCACTCTGCAACCATAGGCTTGCAGCATCTCCTAATGCTTTTAAAGATATGGGTCATGTGTGCTTTTATTTGCTCTCCCAAAGTCATAAAATAACCTAGTTACTGGCACTGGTGGCCCTGGACAAATTCTTGATACCCAGTAATACTGCAAAACCACCCACATCTTTACAAAAAGATTTATAACACCAAGCATGAATCTTAATGTAAACCTTGGGTTTTGGGTGACGGTGATGGTCAGTGTAGGTTCATCAACTGTAAGGAATGTACCATGCTGGTGAGAGATGTTGATAGTAGGGGAGGCTTAGGGGCAGAGGTGGGGAGGAGGTACGTGGTGGTAGGCAGGGAGTATATGAGAACTTGCCACTCAATTTTTCTGTGAGCCTAAAACTGCATTAAAAAATAAAGTCTACTAAAAAAGTAAAAATAAAGAAATGCACCCATGTTTTAACATACTTAAAAAAAAGCAAATCTAGATTATTTAATATTTTACTCAAATAAAATGATATTACATGTATCATATATCCTATTTTAGATAGGTAATCATCATGCAAGATGGGCTACACTGGGCATTCCCCAGAAAGGCAGAGAGAAAGCATATAGATAAATTCTAGTATGAGCACAATGAATGTGAGCAGTTGTTTTATTAGAGCTATTGTTATTGCTAAAATTTTATTTATTTATTTGACAGAGAGAGACGCAGTAAGAGAGGGAACACAAGCAGGAGGAGTGGGAGAGGGAGAAGCAGGCTTCCCGCCAAGGAGGGAGCCCGATGTGGGCCTCGATCCCAGGACCCTGGGATCATGACCTTAGCTGAAGGCAGACGCTTAACGACTGAGCCACCCAGGCGCCATTACTGCTATGAATTTCTGTAGACCTCTGCAGGCAAAACTGTTTCGGGACCATATACTATGTTCCTTAATTGCAAGACAAACTTTAATAAACATATATTTGGTCCAAAGAAGGTCATCCAGAAAGAGAACTAATTTGTGTAGCTGGTTCCAACACTGGAAGACAACAAGAAGCGTGCTCCCCCTGAAACTCAATCAGCAACAGTATATAGTCCAAGGCCAGACAAGTCCAGGCTACATAGTGAGGCCTCCTCTCCCGTCCTACATAGACCTGCCATGGGCAAGTTAGTTTTATACACTAAAAACCTTACAGTAAAAACATCTACAAGTTTATTTTACTGGAGCTCTGTAAATTAGCACACATGGGAAAATAATTACAACAATAAAATCACAGTACACGAACTATGAAGGAACAACCATCATATAGACTTATGATAGACTTTTGTCTCATTAATTCCAATAATTTATAATCTTCCTTCTTTTAACTATTCAACTGGCCCATCAGTCTTAAACAATTAAAACTTTATTAAATAGCTAGCTTTCAGATATTAATCTGGGGACCAACTTCACATTTGCTTATTTTAAAAAGGACACTTGGCCTGCACTGAACTTCCAAGGTAGACTCATCCTCAGAGTTCAATACTTCAAACCACAACAGGGTATTTGAAAATGATGAACAGGTATGGGACTTCACACCCACCAGGTACAGGACGCAGATAGGTGAAATGAATCAAGGGCCTAAACGATCCCATGTTGTATGAAAGCAATTTGGCTTTGTGAGGCAAGTTTTGGAAATACATTATACAACAGGATTTGTAATCTTATCCAATTTCATTTTTCAAGTTAACCCCTTAGCCTGTCAAATTCAGTAAGGATCTATCCTTATCAGCAACAACCCCAAAAAGGTACTGAAGCTTCCACTAAATTAAGAATCCCGGGCCCTGAGGATCCTTTACCTTGGGATTTTTTTTTAACTGCACCCCCCAACCTCCGTCCCATCATCGCCTTTTTTCTCTCGCCACTTACACCTAAATTGTTGCTCATTTCTCAAAATAATGTCTTCACACTCATCATTTCCCGTGGCATTTTTCCTACAATTTCAGGAAAATTGAATTTCTGCCATCATTCATCTTGGGGAAAAAATGGTTTGTTCCTGACAGTGACAAATATTATAGAAAAAAGTCATGTCATTGCTTTATATATTTTTGACCATTTCTACACAAAGACTCGAAGTCTCCATCTTTCTTTCTTGTAAGTCTCAATTACTACAGATTTTCGATTTCTAAATACATTTATATACACTTTTGAAGTAGACTATCAGTTAAATAGGTACCCATATCTGTATTTGAAAGCAAACCTTCTTTCTTTTGAGCTTAACATCATAAATTTGCATTTGAAAAAGGACAGAGCCACTAATTTCATAGCTGATGGCAGACAAAAGGCATGGAAGGTCAGAAAACCCTCCGCAATATCTATCAACATCCTATCAACATCCAGGAAGGTGCCAGACCTGACTAGTTATGAGGCTGCCAAGGCAGCAACCACTGCTCCCAGCAAGTTGCCAGAAACTGTAATTCCTGCTGTTACCACGGCAAGTGAGTCTCCTGGGCTGCCAAGTCAGACCAGTGATTAGCACCTACAAGTTCTAAAGCCAGTATGTCTCCCTTTTCAAGACAAACACTGTCAAAATAATTCTCCATGTAATCTTAATAATATCACGGGTATAACACATGTTATTTTCTTATCGTTTACTGACAAACAAATCCTGTAACATTAGTGTTAGTAATTCCAGCATGCTTGGTTCCTCACTTGGTTTCTCCACAAATTTTAAGTAAACATATGGCAACATTTTAAATTCATTTCACCACTGAGGTTTGAAAAATCTTCAACTGTATGTGATGCAAAAGACTTGTAATTTTAGGGTTGGGGGTAAAATTCTAACAATGGTTTCAAAACTGTGATGTTGAAACAATACAAAAACAGAAAAACACTGTTGTGCCTAAAGATAATTGTGCCTCTGACAAAGTCCCAGAAGGACAGAAGGACACAGGGAGCCTCCCTTCGTTTGGTAGCAGGATTCAGATATCTGCTTCTCTGCCATATTGAAACTTCCAACCTCCCACTTTGAGAATAAACATCTTCAATTTCCACTCCCACTTGGAAGGGATAAATTTCACCTAAACTCCAATTTCATCATGATTAAATAAATTCTGAGTTAACAGAAGAGTTCAGAGTATGTTCATTTTTTTTTTTAAAGATTTTATTTATTTATTTGCGAGAAAGAGAGAGAGCATGCAGGAGTGGGGGGAGGAGCAGAGGGAGAGGGAGAAGGAGAGACTCTCAAGCAGACTCCCCACTGAGCATGGAGCCCAATACAGGGCTGGATCTGATGACCCTGAGATCACGACCTGAGCTGAAGTTGGAGGCTTAACCGAGAGCCACCCAGGCGACCCCAGAGTAGGTTCATTTTATCAGTTACAAGCAGTGTTAATAGAGAAAGAAAGGACAAAACCTTCTTTAATGTATCAGTTTTCCAAGTCATTAT